TTACGGCATTTGACTAAGAAAGGTATGAAGAGCAGGGTTCAGTTGGCTCCCAGAAGTTTAAAGTTGTACGCGCTAGCCAAATTAAGGTCAATCGACAGCTGTCAAAATGGAACATGTAAAGACCACTATCAGATCACTAACAACGTTGGCTCAAATACACGATCTGACATTTCGCAACCTAGACTGAAATGTCTTACTAACACTCGCAGTCAACGGTCCGTTTATTTGAAAATTCGCCATTTAGTAGAGCAGATATGTGCTTGAATTGTTCACTTTCTGTTAAAAGCATGAAATTTGCATGTTGATAGTTTTCAAGGCCCTAAAAAAGATAGGATATGGTGCCATCGCCGAAAAGTCCGTTAAGTGCGCAAAATAAGAGTTTTTAAAATAGCGGCCATTTTGAACCGGAAGTGAAATTAACATGTTCTTTAAAACGTCTGAATTTTAGCAACTTGGATAAGAAAATGTCAGCAAATGCCTAAGGCAGCTGTTTTTTTCATACAAAGAGATATTATTTCAACGCAGTGTCTGAAAAAAATAGAATAGAGAAGATGTAAGTGATAGCCAGCTAGACCGGAAGTAAAACTACCGGAGTCGGAACTTTTAAGGAATGAGATTAAACTTCTGTTGTGCCTGCAGTGCTGGTTTTCTTTACTTGAATATTTTCCTTAAATCTAATGTATACACTCAATTTGCTATTTTCATCGAGTATAATCCATTATTAAACTTGAGCTTACTTTGGCTATGATACAGTAAAAACCTGCGTATAAGAACCTAACATTTAAGAACCTGTTAGGCTAAAATTTCATTTTTAAGCACCCTTCACATAAGAACCATTTTAGGCTAAAATCCTAAAACAGGTTCTATATATGTATATAGTTGAATTGAGAAATTTTCTCAAAAAATATATATATATATATATATATTCGTTTTCTGAGTAGAACGTATTTCGTAGAGCGCTCGACTCAATTGATTGAGGAGCATCAGCTATAACTTCACAGAAGTTCAGGTTTCACGAGTAATCATCGTTTTATTGCTACAGAACTGTTTCGTATGGTGCAAGGACCACACTCATCAGGCAATTTTGACGACTGAATTGTTGGAATTGGAAGGCTGGCAGTTAAATGCGAAAATTTAAATGGTTGCTATGGTAGATGCGTTACATTCAGGTTATATGAAACTGTTGAGAGGGTTGCTAGGTAACAAAAACATTATATAAGGGGGATTATCTGTCGTTATAAAAAATGTGATATGTTTGGAACTTACAAAACGAAAACAAACCGTTTCAGATTAAATGGAAAATTCTTAAGAAATGTAAACCCTACAGCAACATTAACAAAAAATGTAGTCTTTGCCTGAATGAAAAGTTCATAATCATCTGTAAAAAAGAACTGTGTAGCCTCAACAGAAGAAACGAATTAGCAAGTTCATGCCCCCACAGAAATCGATATGTACTTGGAAACTTTAGAGTAACGTAGCTTAAAGGCCGCTTATGTCACATTTTTTATAACGACAGATAATCCCCCTTATATAATGTTTTTGTTACCTAGCAACCCTCTCAACAGTTTCATATAACCTGAATGTAACGCATCTACCATAGCAACCATTTAAATTTTCGCATTTAACTGCCAGCCTTCCAATTCCAACAATTTAGTCGTCAAAATTGCCTGATGAGTGTGGTCCTTGCACCATACGAAACAGTTCTGTAGCAATAAAACGATGATTACTCGTGAAACCTGAACTTCTGTGAAGTTATATATATATATATATATAACACAGTCTGTATGCAATAATACTCTTAACACTATAGCATGGTTATTGACAATTATAGTGAAGGTTACAGTACCATAGGTTTGATTGTAACAGAATCAGATTAAAATAGTATAGTATTTTGCTTAACGAAGCCTCCAAGAATACTGTTTTTGGACATTAAACACCAGATCATTTAAAAATTCTTGAAGAATAGTTAAGAACCTAATTAAGACCCTAGTTAGCCTAATTTTACACTAAATACCATTTATATAAGAACCTGTTTAGGCTAACTTGGAAGAACCTAGGTTCTTATACGCGGGTTTTTACTGTGCAGAACTTGAAGAATAACGGGTGATATCTCGGTGACCTAATGACTTGATACTTCATGCAGACGAGTGCTTGTAATCGAAAAAAAGAGTTTAAGACTGCCTTTCACGATTGTCACTCTTCTGGGTACAGCCCTTCTTACGAGCGTACTTGACTAGTTCCACGCTCAACTTTGTAATTTCTGACAGTGGTGTGCAGGAGAGTCGCCACTCTCCTTTTAGAGATATCAGCCCCAACTCCTTGCGGACTAGGAACCGAGTTGCTTGGTACTAGTGCCTGCTGACTCCATATGTGGCCAGCATGGTTTGCCGTGCCCTTGAAATGTTTAAGTAATATAAGCCAGGTCAAAAAAACTACCTTTGGCTTCGTCAGTTGTCCTTAAAGAACTACCTTTTTATCGTATAGAAGAACGTGTAAGCGAAAACCACTCCGATTATTTCTGGACTGAGGTGACCAGAAGTATTCACCGTGTCACATCCTGTGAATTCATGGAATAGAGGAAGTGCAAGTGCAGCCTTTTTAGTAAATAAGTGAGCAATCTCGTAGGCTGCAAAGTAGCGTAAATGTACCTCAGCACCAAGATATATGCTAAGGAAGCTATTTTGGCTTAATGGTATAGAAGCTTCATGGGTAGTTAGAAAGGAGAGTGGACTTAACGAAAATGTCTTTGGAGAGACTTAACTTATATTTTTTTAGGTTATACCTTAAAAGAAGGGAATCTGCTTTGTGATATAGCATGACGATAAATGCTTTCTAGCGAACGGACTTCAAACGATGCAGGGGAAAGACTGGACATATGTCCCTAGACGTCATGCGTTGCTCAATGTGCAAGGAATCTAAAAAGCACCTGCTTATTTCGATCTTTACATAAGAACTAACTTTTTCCAGTTTCTTAGTATAGCTCCCGATACACGTTTACCCCAGATGTTAGTCTTAAAGCTCTTCTCTGTGCGACATATTTGTCACATACTATATCCAAGAGAATACGTTTTACATGCTCATGGGGGATTAACGTAAGTGATGTATATTCGGACAATCCTTTTTCCTTATTTTCTTGCATGTGGACTTTAACATGATAATCAGTGCTACTCAGTCCATGATAACGAAATGATATTCTGGGGGTGATTACAGTGAAGATAAGAGACTAACAGAGTCTCTGAATTAAAGCGCCGCCCGGTTAGCTCCAGGCCCTGGTCGTTCAAACTTGGATAGCGCTATCCACAGGATAAATCACTATCCAGCGGATAAGTATTAGGGAAAACAATTGCGTTATCCACTGGACAGACTTTTATCCGGTGGATAGCGCTACCCAACCCGTCTCACAGTTCTTGTTTATATCTTGAAACGCTGTGGAAAGTTAAAGAACCCAGACACTGTTTGTGAAGAGTAGGCTGAGTAGGGGACCCGTTACCTTCCAAAACGGATTTCCCGGAAACTTTTTAAAAATGGTAAACTTTGAAATGAGCAGAGGTTATCGTGAAAGCAATTTCAATCCAAGATGTACATGTACAGAGTGTTATTTATACTCCTCAATAACACAAAATGGTGGAGCTATTATACCTCAAATTACTTTGAAAGCCGCAAAGCATTTTACATTCTAGTTAATAGTGGATCAACTCTTTTAACCTTTAAGCCACAATATCCACAAACAAATTCTTCAAACTGGTCTTTATATATTTCTTTAAAACGATAAGTTGAGAGAATTTAGGTGATTCTTATTTATTTCTAAAAACCTAATCTCTTGACATTGTATGGATATGGTCAGGAGAAAATTCATATTGGTCACTGTTAGCCGGACCTAAAGGGTTAAAGCAAGTAAAAAGAAATAATCTGTTTTTTGCTAGTTTAATTTGTTCGTATGTTTGGCTTTCCTGTGCTTACAGATGTGAGTCATTGTTTCACTTTTTTCTTGAAATTCACTACTTGAATAAATTGCTTTGAATGAGTTACATTTTCCCGCTTTTACTTCCGGTTTTATCATTTAAACCGCTTATTTTTGACACGGTTGACTTTTTCATACGACATAAATATGCGGAAAAACATATAACAAACAATTTTGTCGTCATTTTGACCTTAACAGTCTTAACATGCTAAATTTCGTGTACTTTCGGTTAGCTGATATTTACTTCCGGTCAAAATGGCGGCCATTTTAGTAATAACTCCAAAAACCGGTTTAAGAGGAAAAATTTGCAGTGGCACCATATCACATATTAATACCCCAATTAGCTTATATAATAAACAATTTCATCGTCATTTTGGCTTAAAAAAATGCTTCATTTTGTGTACTTTAGATTACATGATATTTACTTCCGGTCAAAATGGCGGCCAGTTTAATTTTCACTCTAAAAACCAGTTTTACAGGAAAAATTTGCGATGGCACCATATCACATATTAATAGTCATAATTAGTTCTGTCATTCCTGAAAATTTGGTGCTTTTAACAAAAAGTGAACAATCCGGCCCCANCCATATCACATATTAATAGTCATAATTAGTTCTGTCATTCCTGAAAATTTGGTGCTTTTAACAAAAAGTGAACAATCCGGCCCCAAATCTGCACATATCCGCCCCACTAATATGTATTAAAAGATAATGACCAATCACAGAGTAGACCAGTAAGTGGTCATTCAACTGCATCATTTTGATCCTTATGCCCTACTTTCAGCAAAGATTGAACAGATTTAAAAGCTGTTTTGTTGAGCACAAACTGATTTTTTGCTGGTAAAAGTAGCTACTGATTTGTTAACTAACAACAAATTAAGCACAAAATCACTGAAATATAAGCAAGCGAATATTAACGTTAAAAGCCGACGTTTCGGTATCATCATGACACCATTCTCAAGGCAAAATGAATAAATAATACAAAGATTTGATTTCTATAGTCTCTACAAATAAGCATAATAACAAAGGATCACAAGTTCTTCAATTGAATACCTTTGCGCGAATCGAGTCCGCCTGCACGTTTAGGGATGGTTTGAGTTTTCTTATAAAGAGCATCTCCTTAATTAAGCAATTAAATTTGTTAGAACCTTTAGTGAGCACGTGAAATTGTTCTGAAAGAAAAGGTGGTACGTCCGAGTTATGTTCGCTAAGATAATATTTACAAATTGACGACGATTTCTGTTGGTGTCCGTCAACGCGTTCGTGAAGGTGGCCGCGAGTGTAACCAACATATCCTGCATCGCACAAGTTACATTGAAATTGATAAATTAAATATTGTTGGTTAACAATGGCTGGCTTGACTGCTCGAAATTTAAGGTCTTCGTTGAGTTTTCTGCTGATGAACACGGGCTGAATAGTGGTATTGATTTTTAAGCTGAGGTCTGTGAGACGTTTTTTCACTATATTATTAGCAGAGACCTGATCTTTAAATGGTATGACAACTCGGATGGGGGCTGGAGTCGTGTCGGTTGATGGAATTTAGTAGAGACTATAGAAATCGAATCTTCGCATTATTTATTCATTTTGCCTTGATAATGGTGTCATGATGATACCGAAACGTCGGCTTTTAACGTTAATATTCGCTTGCTTATGTTTTAAGAAATCACTGAAATACATATAAAATTCAGATAGGCTTTTCAATTTCCTTTAACAGGTAAAACATTATTTAGGAGATTTAAATAGAATGTCTGTTTAGTTAGTGTCTGTATAAGGTAAAATTTGCTTTTGTGGTTTTACTAAAGTTGCATGAAGAAGTTGCATTGTTTTGGTATAAAAAATTGATGTTCTATTTTCAATAATGACTACACCTTCCCATAAATACTATTGACTTCCAAGGTTAGTGTTTTATGGTCTTTTCAACTTACACTTTAGTAAATAATATGATATGATGTCAAGCTTACATTTCAAAGAGGCAGAGAAGAATAAAAAAGCAAAATTAACCTCTGTGCAGGTCAAACAAGGAATTTTGACAACTAACACTGCTCTTTACAGGTAAAAATTTAATGGAAGAGAAACAACTTCCCAGATATTTCAGGGAAGTGAAGTCCACTTTAAAGCCATTGCCTGAATGTTTGATCAATATTGAATAGACTGCAAATAAACTGTTCATAAAAAGAAGTTTCAAACAGTTACTTTTTTAATATAGAATCTTATTGAAAGTTTTCCATTTCTTGTGGTGGAGTATAGATCTGGCCACCAGATTACCTCTACCTCCCTAGTGGTCCGTCCTTAATTGTCTTGGACCCACCTCCAAACTTGCTTTGGCTGTTAGACGTTTGGTTAATAGATCCCCTGACGACTCCTCATTTCATCTCAAATTTCTGACAGTGCTCCAAAAACTACGGTTCTTGGCAGCCTGGAGCTCCTCCTGAGGGCTAAGGTCAGATCTTTTCTCCACTTCCTGTAGGTCTCTGTACCAGGCCGTATCATTTAGTTTAAGGAGGGTTTGTTCATGCAAATGCATCAGTAAATGAAGTGAGGCTATACGCTTTATAGGAAACTCGCCTTGTTGATGGGCAGTAAAATGGAGGCTTCTTATGAGGTACCTGCCTCATGCTATGCACCCTGCATCCAATTTGACAAGCTAAGTGCCCAAAGTACCTTTCAGGAACTTGTGGGAATTGTAAAGTCACCCAACCACCTAGAAATGAAAGTAGACAAAACCAGCTACAATTAAATTGGGTCTTCAGCATATTTTTTTGACAGGAGAAGTGTAAGTTTAAGCCTTCTGAGATCATCTGACATTCTAAGTAAAATAAAGATTTTATTCATTCATTCGCACACAGTCGTTCTGTTTCGTCACGCAACGCTCTTCTCCCGTAGCCGGGATCAGTGTGTGACGAGCAAAACTCGAGTAACGTGCGCTCGTGCCAGTGAGAGAATCGGCTAAACGACGCGCAAAGTACTTTGCTACTAAACTGAGAGACTAAATGCTAAAGAAAATAGCAAAGTTTGAGGGTGCAGACTGTACGCACAACTGAAAAGATGATTGGGTAGTACCTTAAGTGGCTTTTAACGAGGAATATTCAAGTGCATAAATCTAAATTAACAGCGGTGCAAAATGCTTAGGTGGTATAAGTCTTTGTGCCGTTTAAATTCGCCACTTACCACGTAAACGAGGATTAAGGGAAGCGTTTATCTGCTCCGTAAGTCCTGCCAGCCACGATAAATATCCTATTTTAAAATCTTGCGATCTCCTGTTAAGAAATCCAACGTCGGGCACTGAACCCTCGTTCTCCTCGTTGTCCAAAAACACCACATTTAAGACTCGATCACCTTCTATCGTGTGTTTTCGTTCCGCTTGCTTTTGAATTGCGCTAAAAGTTTTAAACTTTCCAGTACATAAACAACATTTCTGTGAAAACGTAAAGCGCAGATCCATGTCGTTGTCAGCTATAACGGATTCGTTAATATCTCGCCGTCAATTTTCCCGTTGCAAACTAGAAATTTGTCAAGTAACATTCCTTGTCAATCACATAGGTTATGAGAATAAAGGACGTGATCACACAGCGCTTGATATGAAATAAATTCTCCTAACCATTTAAAAGGAAAATGTTTGAGGACAGGAAAAAGGAATTTAATTTTGATATGTGGGTTAAGTACGGGTGTTCTTGAAACAATGGCTTCTGTTTAGAGACAATTCTCACGTACCACGTGCTACCTTCCGTATCGGAAGTCTTTTCCCGTGAATGAAAACATGGACTCAAACGAGCGTGAGGAGTTATGCAAAAAAGGAGAGCGAGTATTCCGAGTAAGGGATGGAAAGTATCGTTCAATAGCGCATTCAAAAAGAGAGAAAACAAATCAAAATAAGGCATAGCAGAGGAGAAAATGGGAGGAAGGATTGAAGAATGAGAACTTTCGTGTACCAGAAAGAGAACGTAAGAGGTCTAAGAGAGGAGTTGCCACAAGAGGAGAAGAATGATGAGAAGACTCGTGGACCAGAACTACAGAAGATGCCAGAAGAGGGAGGGGAGAATGAAAAGGTGGGAGAATCAGAAAGTGAGAAGGTGGCAGAACCACTGCCCGTAAACAAGAAACGGGTCGAGGCCAACAAACTATCTCCAGAGGCAAATACTTTCTCCAGAGGCAAGGTCATGGTCAATTTATCACATTCGAAGTTAAAACGGAAAGGTCATACCGAAGAGAAATACGTGCCGGCCGCAAAAATTTCACGGAAACAAATCAAAGTTAGCTCCAGAAAAAATAGCATCGGCAAGAACGCATATGCTCTTGCGTTTAAGGAGATCAATAGGTCTTTGCTGAAAGTGGATAAAAGCCAAAAAATTGGAAACGGAACCTTCGGAACTGCTACATCGCCGTATACCCCAATGAATACCCCGTTGTAAATAATTGAATCCCCAAAGAAGACGAGAGGAAGTGTGGCGAGAAGGATCGGCAATCACTGGAATTAGACACCACTGGGGAATCCCTATTCTGTTTGGTGTTTCCACAGATCGGGCACCATTTTATCTGGTTCTCCAGTTCCACTCTTTGCGTAGTGAAAGCGTAACACTTTTTAAGGCCGCTTCAGAAAAAGTTACTCAAGATGTTGCCATGTGCGCAAATATCTTAAAGCAAACATACGAAATACTAATATTCATCCATGAAAGAGGTTTCTTGCACAACGATTTGAAGAGCAATAATGTTGTCCTTGACGGATCGGAAAACAAGCCCGTAATTATCGATTTTGAAAAAAAGCTGCAAGATTGTTAAAGCCAGGTTACGTAAACCCAAGGTGAACATTGAGAAATCGATGAAAAATTTCCGCACATCGCACCGGAAATACATCGCAGTGAAAGGCAGACCATCGCTAGAGGCGTGTTTTCGTTTGGCTATCTGGTCACTCGTTTATTTAAAGACGGTAAGCTAGAAATTCCACCGGTCCTGATGGAAGTGGCTAAGAAATGCCAGAGGTCAATCCCAGAAAAACGTCCTCAACTGGTCGACTTTTTCACCATCCTGACTAAATTATCATAAATGATGTTACTGTGCGCTCGATTGACCGTGTTCAGGAATAAGTTGTCTGATGTCTTTCAACCTTTTGTAATACGTCAATTGGAATAAGACTTACTGAAAAAATTATTGGCTTTCATCTACAACCCAGAATATGTTGAGAATTTATACTTGAGGCCAATGTTTCATCTAAGTGGTGCATAATTTTCGGTCGAAGAGATTTTTTCAAATTTCTGCCTGTCACTATCCCGGAATTCGATCAATTGAACGCTTTCTTATTGACAACAACAACAACAACAACATCTTTTATTTAAACACGGTGAGTTTTAAAGCTAATATAGCTAATATGTATAGATTCCAAAGAATTAAATTCAATTTTATTTGTACAACTCCCCCAAACTGGTAACGCATATGTAACCGAGGGTAAAATGACTTTAAAATATAAATCTAAAAGCGAATTCCTGGGTAAAAAGCGGCTACGTTTGATTAGATTGATCGAGATTGAGCTTGTTAACGAACCCTCTCTTGAGCTCTAATATGTGTTTTGTCCACGTAAGCTTGTTGTCAATGGTTACACCTAACAGCTTAGAGCTTGAGGACCATTTTATGAGATGCTGGTTAACTTTTAAACTGCCTAAGGGACCGATAAAATGATTTCGTTTAAGGATCATTCCCTCGCACTTTTTGGGGTGTGGTACCAGGGAGTTGTGTTTGCACCATAGGGCGAGTTCCTCTAGAGCTTTGTTCAGCGTTGCTGTGACCTGGTCTACGGATTCACCAACACAGTACATGATAGTATCATCAGCGTACAGGAACGTCGTTGCAGTGTTAACTGTTTTCGGTAGATCGCTTGTGTACAAGGCGAAGAGTATGGGCCCGAGTACAAGGAGCCCTGTGGTATACCGTGTGCAACTTTGGTATTCTCAGAGTGTGCGCCATTAATTACAGTATACTGTTCCCGATCAGATAGGTAATCTCTTAGCCATGCCAGTAAGTTTCCTGTGATTCCAAAGTTGTGCTCTAGCTTGTGAAGAAGAATTGAGTGTGAAACGCAATCGAACGTCTTCTGGAAGTCTATGAATACGGCACCCACAACTAATTTGTTATCGAGGTGGTCAAACGGGCATCTTTTTTTCTTGCACAAGCCTCATCATGATCACACCAAAAATCTACTTTCTTCAATACAAGGAGAAACCACTTTTCAAATCATTGCGGAAACTTAATGAACGTCGAAAATAGGTTACTCGATTAAAATTAAGCCTTGAAAGAAATTTCTTTCTCCGTCTAGTTCGGCCATTTTTCGTGGGTTAGCCTTATAACTTCCCCAGTGCAAGGAGGGAAACTTCTCGTGCATCCTTCTTTTGTACTTTTTAGGAACTGTGTAACTTATGTAAATGTGTGATATATTTTTAAACGCCTTTGCTACTGAAATTATGTGCATAACTAGCGAGTTTGTTGACTTAACTAGTTTATAGATATATGTGTGATGATATTCACCCAATTCTGCAAGGAGACTGAGCGCTTTTTGAAATTTTGTTACATTTCTCCGGTTTTCGACAGTCAGACGAAACCATTGCATGATCATTGTCGATTATGCTTATGCTTCCAACGTGACAGAAGTCGACCAAGGATTATTAATCTCACCTTGTTAACGCTTAGAATTAAAGAGAGGGACGAAAGGAATCTAATTAAAATTGAAAGTGTCGACAGCTGATGAACATGTTTCAGGGTCTCTTTGTAAGAAGTCTATCTTTTTGTCAAGGGTCGAGGGTCGAGGGTTCCATGTCGAGGGCGAGGGTACCATGTCGAGGGTCGAGGGTAGCATTTTTTTTCCAATATTGTTTTTTTTTGGAAAAGGTAATAATCGATGCAATTTATGTCATTAAAACAGATAAGAAGAATTTAAAAAACAAATGGCGCGTGAACATCTTCTAGTTGTTGGGTGGGGGAGGGGGGGGGGGGGGGAAT